TACTCAACAGAATAAAAACTTGAGCCAAAATTTTTCTTCCGTGCATCACACAGGTTTCCTTCATTGTAAAAGTTTTGATGTATCATTTGGGATCACATTTTTTTTGTTTTAATTAACACAAGTTTCTCTATTTCGGCCGTGAATCGCACGGATGAGAATACTAGTCAAATTGAAATAAATTAAACTAAATCATTGTCATTTTGAAAATCCAAATAAAACTTTTTTTTTAAATAAATAAAATAAAACTTAATTCGTAACGTCACAGTTACCTGACACGTCGTTAATGTGATTTGTGAATACAGAAATACCAAGGGTAAAATGGTCCCACGGCATAAAAATGAATGAACACAAAAGAAAGCTGAAAGCAGCTGCTATATGAACCACGCACATGATGCTGACTAACTGGGACCAGCGGTGATCCGAATTTCATTTGAGGCTGAGGCCGAGTCAATCGGATTTACTCACGTATTAAACAGAACGCGAGGCAGAAACTATTCCGTTTAAGAAAGGGAGTACTATATATCAGAACGCCAGAGAACCAATCCAGCTCCAGCCGCCTCTTAATAAAATCCATAGAAGGTGTATGTTCACATCTCTCGTCAAAGATTGAATCTTTGAGGTTATACATTGGGTAATTTGCTCGAAAATCCGAACAGCATCTTCGATTATGCGTTTCAATTGCGTACTTGTTTGTTTTTCATTTAAACGTTTCGATTATGCTTCCCTTGGAATCGGGTCTGTAGATCTGCAAATGCTTGTTCTGAAATGAATGCAAGGTTCATGGTTGTCAATAACCTCTGAGGCAGTTATATTTCATTGATCGGGAATTGATATTGATATTATAATACGTTTTGCCTCCATTTACCTGTTCTGGATGGGGACTTTTGTGTTTGATGACATTTTTTTAGTTTCAGAGAAAGTTTAGAAGATGGCCGAAGGTGAGGATATTCAGCCCCTGGTGTGTGACAATGGTACAGGAATGGTCAAGGTACAAACCTTTATCATGTAGCCTATTTTTGGAACTCATAAATGACAAGGAACGAAAGAAAATGCAAAGAATAGTAGTTTTTAAAAACGTTTAGCTTAAAGTTGAAACTTAAATAGTAATGCAAAAAATAAGTTTGGACAAATTTCTAAGATCTATATATTGAGTTTGAACTAGTTTTTCCCTCCTTTCTAGGCCTGTTTCGATAGGGTTAATCAGCTTATTTCACTTATTCTCTTTTTTGAGAAAATTAAGAGAAACATTCATAATAAGCACATGAATGAGGAGCCTTTGACCTATCTATATGGATGAAGTCAAGTTTACAAGATTCAGTGGAATCACCTAAGGGTGGAATCAGGCTGCTTGGATTTGTGTTGGGACCGAAAAAGCCCAGCAGATATCAAATTGTATTAGTTTGGACCGAAAAAATGCCCAATAAGTTCAGGCTGGCCCAGATTTTATGCATTTTGATTCAGCCCATGTTCAGCCAGGCCAGTTTGTGTCCGTGAATGACATTTTTGTATTTGTAGTATTTCCACCATGCTTTCATACATTTTTTTATGAAATACATATGATATCTGTTTAAATAGTACTGCATCCACCTCGGTTTAAGGCTCCCTTTAAGAAATGGCACATTTTTAAGGCTATAGTTAAATAAAGTAATTTGAGTATAGTTTGGGAAGTAGTTTGGGTGGATATATAATATAATGGGGTAATTGATGATAATTTTGTTGTTATGGCAGTATTAATTTTAATATGTGATGATAAAATTGTCATGTAAGAGAGTTAATTATTTCCTAAAACGGAATGAAAACCTTGATGTGGGACGTCCAAAAGAGGAAAGTGAGAACCTTGAAATGGGACAAAGGAAGTACAAATTATCAACAACGTTTCAAATAATAATTTTCAACAGTTAAACTGAACCACTTAGAATTATCAGGCATGATTGGGTCAGTTTTTGGGTTTGGGGTTGGGTTATCCCCTGCAAAAGTTGTCCATTTCAGAGAAATAACTACCACCAAACAGCCTTGTAAACTCCTCCTCCCTATTGTCTGTTTATCTTTCCCTGGAATCTTTGTATCTGGGCTTGGATTCGGATGTTTTATTTTATTTTCATGAAATTTTCAGGCCGGATTTGCTGGAGATGATGCCCCAAGGGCGGTCTTTCCAAGCATTGTGGGACGCCCCCGACATACGGGGGTGATGGTCGGGATGGGCCAGAAAGACGCTTATGTTGGTGACGAGGCCCAATCCAAGAGAGGTATATTGACTCTGAAGTACCCAATTGAACACGGGATTGTTAACAACTGGGATGACATGGAGAAAATATGGCATCACACATTCTATAACGAACTTCGTGTGGCGCCCGAAGAGCATCCTGTACTCCTTACAGAAGCACCTCTTAACCCTAAGGCTAATCGTGAGAAAATGACTCAGATCATGTTTGAGACCTTCAATGCCCCTGCCATGTATGTCGCCATTCAGGCTGTTCTTTCCCTTTATGCCAGTGGACGTACAACTGGTAAGCTTTCCACCTATGTGCTTAAAATAAATGTCATTCATATTATCATATATTATCAAAAAATATATATACTCCATAAATTTGTTACAGAAGCACCTCTTAACCCTAAGGCTAAAACATTCACATTGGTTATCCCATGCCCATTTGGAGGCTGTATGTTGTTCTGGTACATAATTACATATATTTGTCTCTTGTAGTGGAATAATTTTATCTTTCCAAGATAAATCATACTTTAGTTCTCAAAAAGTCAAAAGTATATGCCCTTACAAAAAAGGATGGGCTTGGCCCAACTGGTGAAGTCTCTCCATTTGTGTATGCTTTTTATATGCTCTACACTCTAGTTCTTTTCTGATAACTCAATCCTATCTACTTACTGTGGGTCAGTTTGGAACTGTTACAGCACTAGGGAGATAATATAGGGTGAAAATGTAATGGAAGAATTGGGGAGAAAATGTAATAGTTTAACACTTATCATAAAAAATACATTGAAAAACATGAAAAAGAATATTTGAATATGTATTAATCTAGATTGAAATAGGGAATGTGAATTATGATATTGGAAATTTATCAAAATATGTCATAAAAATTTAAATGGCGAATTTAGTAATTAAATATGTGTGGCTCACATATTTGTTGTTGGCACTTCTTACCAGGAATTGTCTTGGACTCTGGAGACGGTGTGAGCCACACAGTGCCTATATACGAAGGGTACGCCCTTCCGCACGCAATTCTTCGTTTGGATCTTGCAGGACGTGACCTCACAGACCATCTCATGAAGATCCTGACTGAGAGGGGCTACACTTTCACCACTACTGCAGAACGCGAAATTGTGAGAGACGTGAAGGAGAAGCTGGCCTACATTGCTCTTGACTACGAACAAGAGCTGGAAACATCAAAGACCAGCTCTTCCGTGGAGAAAAGCTATGAGCTGCCCGACGGGCAGGTGATCACTATTGGCTCCGAGAGATTCCGCTGTCCTGAGGTTCTTTTCCAGCCGTCGATGATTGGGATGGAATCTTCTGGGATTCATGAGACCACATACAATTCTATCATGAAGTGTGACGTTGATATCAGGAAGGATCTTTATGGAAACATTGTGCTAAGTGGCGGGACCACCATGTTTCCGGGCATTGCTGACCGGATGAGTAAGGAGATCACCGCGTTGGCCCCCAGTAGCATGAAGATTAAGGTCGTGGCCCCACCAGAGAGGAAATACAGTGTCTGGATTGGTGGGTCTATTTTGGCTTCCCTTAGCACATTCCAACAGGTATGCCATTGCACGTAGTAGATTTCTCTCTTAAATTCCCAAGCTCATTAACCTGTGTTTGGTGCCTTGGAAATAATAGGAAACGAAAAAGCAAAAATAGTTGTTTCTTATTTCAATGTGTCTTTACAGTACTGAGAAAAGCCAAAGTTGGTTAAAACTTTTTAAAACATGCCATAGGATTTAGTTTTTCTTTATTTATACGAAGTGTTTTTTTTAAAAGCATTGAAACACCATATCTAAAATTGATTGATTCTTTGAGTTAGTTGTTTTATTCCCCCCCCCCCCCTCCCAATTTCAATCCAAGTTTGGTAGTGTTATATATATCATGATTTACTGGTTCCCAACACAGTTCCGTAGAGCCTTATAACCCAAAAAGAGATCCAAATCTCAAAACAAAATGTGATTGTATCATTACCACATACCACTGAATCTCATGGTCTATGCACCAAAGACATTGTACTGTAATGCTCATAACTTATTATTATTATTACAAGTATCGTTATTATTTAATCTAAATGAATCTTTGTGTAGACATTTGAGTTTTTAACATTGAATTTTGGGTGATGACAGATGTGGATAGCGAAGACAGAGTATGATGAGTCAGGGCCTTCCATTGTTCACAGAAAATGCTTCTAAAATGTTCTGAGAGGAGATGTATACAACAAGAGCCGTGTTATGAAAATCAGCTGCACTATGTATGTTGTTTCTAATTTTTTTTTTTTTATTAATTATTATTTCCCTTAATGTTCATTATACTCAATTGTAATTCTTATATATTCAAGAGATTTGGCCAGTGGGGCCATAAACAGTCAGGATGATCTTGTCTGTGAAATAAAAGGAAAAGAAGTAACGGATTACTTATCATCAGCATTCGCCGCCTCCTAAAATTATTATTCTGCACTATCGTTTCTGTCTAATTTCGTTTGTTTCACGTTTCTTCTTCATTTTGGGCGTCTTGTAACTTTCATCACAAGAGGATTAATAAACAAGGAAACGAAAAAGTAAAAAAATGTCAAGAAAAAGATGATGAAGGTTATGCAGTAGATATGGTAAAACATGCCAACAAGTTGAACTAAATCGAGGAGACGAAAAAGTGGGGGTATAAAGGGAGGTAAAAATAAGAAAGAAAAAAATGGATACTGCATAGCCATCCACTATTCTTGAGTAAAAGAGAGAACAAGGAACAGTGCAACTGCCATTGTTATTATAACGAAAGAGTGCAGAAGGGGAATTTGGAAGCTTAACGTCCGTTTTTCTATATGTACCGATTACTACTGAATGTGATTTTTTGGAATGAATACGAAAAAATGTGTCTACTATTATACTATACTACGTACTACTACTGTATTCTGTCTGTCGTTTATGAGATGAGCAGCAATCCAAACAAAAAGAATGTTGAGAATTTGGGAATGAATTCTATCTAAGCCTCTTCAACTTTAGCTTTTCCCTTTGGATCAGCAGCAGCAGCAGCTTCAGATTGAGCACCAAGACCAAAGTCGACCGTGGCCTTCAAAAGGGGCGGTTCGTCAGACTCACCCCCGTAGGGTGTTGAGGGCCCACCGTAGCTTTTTGATGAGGGCCCACCGTAGCTTGTTGAGGGCCCACCTGGCAGGGAAATTCCCGCCAGCTCCGACGGCTCGGCACGGACAGAGGAGCCCTTAATCTGCAATCCCGGGACGACCCTGCTCCCACCGCCGTCGTGGTGGTCCACGAAGATGACGACAACCGTGATGTCGTCGTGATAAGCCCTCCTCCGCCCCCTCCCCAAGGCCTTGATCTGGTCATACCTGAGGCCGCCGGCCTTCGCCGCCGCCTCACTCAGAGCAATCCTGATCAGCCTGCGGGCGATGCCCGGTCTGGGGCTCGCATGCACGATCTCCGCTGCCCGTTGACCCGTCAGGTGCTCCCACAGCCCGTCCGAAGCGAAGATGACGAACTTGTCATCGGGCGTCAGCTGCCTTTTGAACACGGTCGGGTCGGATCTCAATATGGGCCGGGTAAGGGCTTCTCCCAGATGGAATCTCGGGTGCTCTGGCCCGAGTGCGAACTCTTGTCTCTTCAGATATGCATCCCCTATGGACCGAGTTATCTAATAATAATCATCCAGACAACACAAGAAGCATTCATTACAAAGAATCCCATTCAAGAAACTACTACCACACTTACTGGATAATAATATAATAATACCTGGATGACGCCCTTAACACGCCAAGCACCGTTCTTGAAAATGACAATTTTAGGATCATCTGGATGGAGGGATTTCAATTCTTCCCTAACCTGAGGGGAAGAAGCATTGTGTTCATAGGTCAACTGATCAGCAAACATTTCCTTGGTTTTTTTGTTGAGAACGCCAACCACAGCCCCAGAATCCCCAAGGTTAGCAACCAGTAATGTCCCTTTCCAGATCACGCCCACCAGACAGCATGACCCATTTGCAGCAATCACCGGGTTGCTCTCAAATGCCCCTCTCACCAATGACATAAACCCTTCTTCTGTCTCCAACAAGGCATTTTCAAGCACTTTTTCACTTATCCTTCCTTCGTCTTTCGCAATCCCTGCCACACACGTACACAAATTCAACAATCGTAAATTATTGATTATTCCTTTCATTTCGATCCAGAAAATGCCCAGAAATTAAATGCAGAGTATATAGAAAGGAACATTACGTACTGCACAAGTTCTTGAGAAGGTTATTGCAGATGAAGTTGGCTGCCTCAGCCCCGCCATGGCCGTCGTATACTCCGACGAAGGTTGCTTCCGGTCCGGCGTCGACCTGACTGTAATCCTCAATCATATTATTGGCCTGAACGACGGCGAAGGAGTAGTCCCCGAAATGGTGTTTCTCGAGGTCTCTGTACCAGAGAAGCTCGTCGTCTTCTCTGCGTATACTCCTGCTGCTTTCATCCCTGCTCACTCGCGTATATCTCTTCAATGGCTTCCAGCAGCTCGACAATGATTCCCAGATAGACGGCATTGTTCTTATCCCGATTCAAACACAATCGCAATAAAAAATTCCCCGATAGTTCCTGAAATTCAAAACCCGAAACCACTCTTAAACCCCAGAATGGAAAATAAGAAATCAAGAAAGCGAAAAATGAACGAGTACCATAAACCTAGAGGGGGCGGGGATTTCCCAATGCAAATGCAGATTAGAAGCGTGATACTTCAACGAAACCACCACTACTATTTCCTCCCCAGCCAAAAGCGCAAACGTGTGCAGAAATTGAATTCAGAACCCAAGAAAGGAAACTAAACCATGCAGTAACGAAATGTAGGGGGGAAGATGAATTTGAAATTATTCCTAACCCGGAAACGGAGAAGTCTGGGAAAGTTACTGGAGATCGCAATTCCAAGCCAAAACCTGCAAAGATTTCTGTTATTCGTCAGTGGGGAGGAGAATCAAGAAACGGTTACAGAGCGAAGTAAGTTGAAGGTGGAGAAATAGCGGAGTGGCCGAGTATTTATCGAAGATTTGATTGAAGAAGACTACGGACTACTACTCAAGAAACTGGTTTGCTTTGGGAAATTTTTGCATGTATGGAAATGGAAATTTTCGCTTACATGTCTAAAACCATATATATGCAGACAGAGAAAGAGAGAAATGGTGTGCGGATAAACAAACAGAGAAGAAAGGTTTCTTCTTTCTCAAATCTAATAAGGTCTAATTTTTCTGGGCCATCTCTCGGGGCTGAGATGGACGATGTGGATGGGTAGTTGACAAAATATGTAACTAAATATTTAAATACAAAAGAAAACAACAAAATATATGTTGTGTAAAAAACTAAAAATACTACTATTGGACAAGAATATTCGGAGTGTAGCAGTGTATACTGTATGAATGCAATTGGAGTAGCAGCTTTATTTTCGGCTTCTCTCGGTGAAGCATGACCACAGATATTTGAGTCTTTTTAAAAAGTAATGTTAACTAAAAACGTATTTATGAAATTAAAGTCGAAATACAGGTATTTAAGAGTGTTTTAAATTGATTCTGCTTCTCTTTTTTTTTTAAACTAGAATCAGAATCAGTATTTCAGAAGTCGGTCTTCCCATCTTATAAAAAACTGCTTCTATGAGTAATTTAGAATACCCAAAAGTACTTCTGCACTTAAACACAAACACTTCAATATCTTCTTTACGAAGTAGATCCAAACACCCCCTTACATACATTTTGGTGCAGTGTTTTTAAATAAATTGTTTAATTAATTTCTCAATTAAATTAAAATTAAAATTTTTCAGACGTAATCTACACTTCAATAAAAATATGTTCACAAAATTTCATTAAAAAATCCACTCGAAAGCACCTCAAACAGACAAGTTTGGATGGCGGTCCCCATCAGAACTACCTCACAGGGTCATTACTCTACAGAGTAATATATTCCGTATATACTTAATCTTCATTCATTCTCTTCTAATTGCAATGTTTATTATTTCATTTTTACTAACGCGCAAACTTAATCATTAATATATTTCATTTTTGTTGGGGTAATTTGTTAGAAAATTGATGTAACGTACCTCGAAAGTACAGCAGCGGAATTTTAAAATTTTTCCAAACAGATCTTTCCTTATTATGACAAAACAACGAACATAACAACAATAATAGATCTGAGCTAGAACTTACAGATCTCTTAGCCTAGCGCTGATAATCCTTGACCTTAGGTATCCACCCGATTTCTCCTTTCCGAAAGAACGATTAGATCTCCCATGGAGAAGGGCTAGGAAATCTCTTCGCAAAGAAACAAACTGGTAAATGTGAAGAAGGAGTACGTATTTACACTACTTCTAAACTAGTTTCTCAATCACAATGAGTTATAGTCCAACTAGGACCATTAGTCCTATAAATAGTGATAGTCCATATTGGTCCTATTGGAATTATACCTATTTCTTCATTCCATTCTTACCCCTCCTTTAAATATGAATAAAACATAGTCAAAAATTATAATTAAATGTTTAATTCATAATAAATTCGAAACAAATTCAATAATTCGTAGAAAATAGTAAAAAAATTAACAAAAATTTTAAAAAATAAAAAATCAAAAAAAACATTTTGTTTATTTTTTTTTAAATTAATAAAAAATACTACCTCCGTCCCGCTAAGATTGTCCCATGTTACCTTTTCGGTCCGTCCCACTAAGATTGTCTCATACTAAATTTGGCAAAATTTGTGTGACTCTAAATCATTCTTACTTTATCAATTCAATATCAACCACATAACTCACTTTTTACTAGTTTGCGTGTCACTCCCTCTTGTCCCATTTTTAATGGGACGGAGGGAGTAGTAAAACTCCATAAAAACAATTAAAAAAAAATATGGATGTCTTTCCCACCGCCTGTACTACCTCCCTGCATCACCACCTCCGATCGATGTAAAAATGTCACTTTTTTAAATTCCAAAAATATGGCATATTACTCTATGAGAATGCCAACATTTTCATTCTGCCAACTTGAATCCTTTTGACTTCTGCCAAAAATATGGTATTCGTAATATTTTTGGCATTTCCCCCCGGTGGCAGGAGGTGGTGGTACCGCCTCCCTGCACCACCACATCCGCCCGTTAAAAAAATGTCATATTTACTAAAAAAACTGCCATTTTTTTCCTGAAAATGCCAAAAAAATGGCATATTTCTCTTTGAGAATGCCAACTTGAATCATTCTGCCAACTTGAATCATTCTCACTTCTGCCAACTTGAATCATTCTCACTTCTGCCAAAAATATGGCATTCATAATGAATTTGGCATTTTTTTCCCCAGATGACCGGAGGTGGTGGTGCTGGGGGCGGCAGAGGCGGAGGCGTTTTTTTTTGCATTTTTTTTCAATTTGTTTTTAATTTATTATTATTTAAAATATTTTTATTAATTATTTTGTATTTTTTACGATTTTTTATTATTTTATTATGAATTAAAACATTCCAATAGCTATAAGGGTATATTTGTCCAAGACACCCATAATTGGTCCTATGGAAACATAGTTTATTTTTTGTTCCTATTTGTGCAAAGTGAGTGACTTTTAGTCCTATTTTGATAATTAACCCTAAACTAATAATAGTAGATATGTGCGTGGCTGCACACTCTATTTATTATTATTTACATCATTTTGAATTTCTTTTTAATTCCAAAGAATAAAAAGAAAATACCAATTTATTTAATAATAAATACATCTTAATTAAGTATGATAAATCTAATTTATCACACTTAATTAATTCTATCAAACATAACAATCCCCCAACATGATGAATTACATATATTAATCTAATTAATATTTAACTCATCTTATTTTCAGCATTACGAATTAAATATTATATAGTCCAATTAATAATATTTAATTACTTCTAATAATTCAATCAGAAGGTATAATCATTTGTTGTGTGACCCATAGGGCCTTATATATTAAACACTAATCAAATTAAGGTTTTAGTAGAATCCCTAGACGATTTACCACACAATCTTAATATATAAGGACATTTGCGAGGACTATTCAAACTCTCTGTAATATAGAGCTCATAGTAATATGTTCCTTTCATTCAACGAACATTCAATTAAGTTTAGAACTTGATATTGTGTCTATTCCAATAACTACTTAGTCTCTGTCTCTCAATCTTTCTAGATGATCCATAACGATCATATTCGATATTTAAAACGAATATATCTTTGCATTGGCAAATGACTTTATGATCCATCTAGATATGAGAAGTAAAATGTTCTCTCTTAATCTATTACGAGAAAAGAATCCTTTCTTGGCTCAACAACTACTCCATGTGCTTCGTGATGCACCCAACACATGTCGTATCTACCTTGACTGGAGTGCAAGCGTTGGTCATGGTCATAGTACATCACTCCACACATGTAGTATGTATTGACCTCAAGTCGGAGGACTATTACACTACTCTATACACCAATAATCCCATAAACACATGAATAGAACTTATCAAATGATTTCTCGGTGGGTATGCCAATATTCTCTAAAATATCCATGTGACCATCATGAATAACAGGAACTCATAGTCGTGACATCAACTATACTTTCTAAAAGTATGCTGCAGTCCACATACCAATCTTATCGCATATCATTAATATCTCATTCTTGATGATCAATGATTGGGGCTGCAGGCCGATGTCAAGTCGGGCGCATTAAATGCGAAGCGGCACTACAATCCACCCAAAGAAGATTTGAAATTTGAATTTGATTAATCGCGCCATCTTACTCCTCTAAAATCCAGCTCTGCAGATTTTAGGGAGTAGGGGGGCTCCTGATGGTACCATGGACTTGGACCATGGCCCAATTACGGAATTCAGCCCATAACGGGATCAGACCTCAACGGGATTAGCCTTCAACGGGATCAGCCTATAAAACAGGATTAGCCCATAAAGGGATCAAGGCATCAAGCCCTAAACAGGATTAATATAATAAGCCGCTGGGCCTACTTAGGAATCAGGCCCATGATAGGAACCCACAACCAGGCAATGCTGAACAACAGACCTCGAGCCTGTGCAGAGTTCTAGTGAGGCCGGGATATTCTTAGGGCTTACGTTGCAGGCTATTATTCGAGTATAGCTATCTGGCAGCAGGCAGGACTCAACAGAAGAACACAGACTTTAAGGACATAATCATTGCACAACGTCCAAGACGTTACATGAGTTCTATTTGACTAGAATATAATCAGTAGCATTTATTGTATCAGTTTCCTCCTAGAATATTAGCCCCTATAGTCTATAAATACTTCCTGTATATTTCCTATCAAAGGATCGGCTTCCGAGTAATAAAACACTGCCTTACGCTGCCCAAATTTCATCTTCTCTCGTAGATATAGCTCTCGTAGTTGGATTAAACTCCATCAATATATTTGAACATTGGGCAAATGTATTTTATAGAAAATGTATTTTAATAATATATATATATATATTAGCAAATGTATTTTGTATGATATATTAACAAATGTATTTAAAAATTGGAATGAATAGGTTCAGTGGGCATGGTAAAAAAAAAGTATTTTAAAATTATTATCGTCATCCTCTGGCTAGCTTGCGCTTCAGAAACAAGAGAAATTATTAAGGAGAGCTGAGATTGAACGACAGAAACTTCCCATAAGTGATTTTGTTTATTCAATCTATTGTTTAAAGCTGAGTTTTAAAAGGCTGATGTGTCAGGGAGGTTGTTAGTTCATAAAGAGAAATTCTCCTTGGCGAACCCTAGCAAGCAGCGCCGCCGACTCTTGCAGGGGATAGCCACGATCGTTTTTCCATTGCTTATCAAGTTTAATTTTTCAAGTGGGTGCACTAGCAGTAAGAAGACAAAGGATGTTACTAGTTATATTACGTTTCTCCTAGGGCAGCCGCCTCTAGGCTTTTTTTCCGAATTCGATCATATTGATCGAAGTTCGGCTGTTCTTGTTCGCATATCTGGTCGCAGAACAGTGGTCTGCTTTTGGCTAAGGTAGAGCGTTCACGAGTTTTTATCTCTAGGGTTGTGACTATGTCGGTCGTTGGAGCCTTTTTCCGATTTCGACTTTGTCGAAGATCGGCTTTGTTATCCCTTGGTCGCTGGTGCTCGACTGGAGTCCAGGTCAGACGCGGAGGGCGGAGATCGGTGGAGGAGAGCAGATTTGCTGTCATGGATCGAGGAGATCGACGCTGTGGTCAGGGTTCGAGGATGCGGCGTTGCTGTCGTCGTTGGAGAAGATCGGCGCCGCCTATCCATTTACTTTGGTCGCACGAAGCAGAGATGAGTTTGGTTATGCAGAGACGGAGGATTGATGCATGGTCTTTGACAACCAAAAGTCATGGAGGATCAATTAACATGGTACCAGTCGTACGACCTCCTCCTGAACCACCACCATGGGATGCACGATGTGCTAAAGTTCGTGAACGTTTTTCTTGTAGTTTTTATCTGTTTGTTATTTATTTTCTTGCGTCTATTTTTGTTGTTAGGTTTGACAGTTTTTTTGAGTTTTTTGCCTCTCTTTATATCATTGGGTATGGTTGGATCTATGGGAATAGGTTTGGCTGTGTCAAGCCCACTACATGGTTAGCGATTCGTGTTGCTCTCTCAGGGATAACCGTCTCAAAGTCTCACCATAGGGTTACAGTCGTAGTTGTTGGAGTTTCAGTTGGTGTCTGTTTTATTTTCCCTTTGTTTGATGTAATGATCCTGAATCTTTTGATATGAATAGAGACATGTTTTGATGATAACAAAAAAGGCTGATGTGTCACAAGCTTATTGGTTAAGATAAATTATATTAAAACTCCTCTATTAGAACATTTAATTTATCACTATTTTAAAATATTTAATTATTCCTATTTAATTAATGTGTTGCTCGACATTTTCGCCTTTGAACTAAAACACGGCACATTTTAGTTACCATACCAGGACTTAATTCAGTTAATTGAGTCTAATAGGACTCTAATTTAGAGTTACGTAGTAGATTTTACGCCCACTAGGACTTATTTTATGATGGGCTACTTGAATATACATTTAACACTATCCCACTACGAGATAATACAATCAATAACCAATTTTTAAAAGATTGCCTCCTAAAGTTAGAATAGCTCCCAAATTGAAAATTTACATCACCACAATTATTATTCGTAAATTTTGAAGGAAAACTTTCATCACAAAATAAAATAGCCCCCAAATTGAATAAAGAGAATAATAATGTGTTCGTTGACAAAAAAAAACATATTTTTAAGGGAGACTAATGTTGTAAATATAGCCCTAAATATGACCAAACTAATCCGTAATTTGACGTGCACTTTGTCGTGTATGCACGCAAAATAATAATCAATACAACACTAATACGTAGTATAGCGAAGTAAGGTTCGTATCCGCAGGGAAAGGAATACTTCTCTTTTTATAAACTAGTAACAAGGGGTGTTTTAGATTTGATTTGATTTAATTTAATTAACACTAAGATGAATGAGTTTAATTAATAGAGATGAGGACTTGGTTTTGCTTTTATCCACTTAATGAAATGTACGTTCGTCGATCCCGTTATATCTTTAACTATCTTCCTCTCGAATACTCAATCGAGGAGTATATCCAGTTCATCGAGGGTAGTTATTAATAACGAGAAGCGTTCATTAATAAAACTTACTACCGAGTTAATATAGAACACGCGCCGTATATTAACCCGATAGTAGCAATAAAATCAAGATGAAAACGATTGAGATTGATAACCTCAATACAAGTGGTTTATTGATTTAATCAACATAATTAATTCCCCTTGGTTTATTAACCATGAAACGCATGCATTAATAATCCAAGTTTACTACCGTGAAAGGACCGAATTAATAACAAACATATTAATCGACCGATTCTAGTAATAATTAATATATGAAACAAAACTAGTTGATCCTTTAAGTAATGTTCAAAATATTAATATGAAACATGAATAGGAATTAATTAATACTAAAGGAAGAATATTAAAGAAGATGAATCCTACTATAGGAAATATCAAGATGTTAACTAATTGTCATCTTAGTAACACTCCCCAATATTAACATAGAGGAAGAAATAACTATTACTATAACTAATGTCAAGATGTTAACTAATTGTCATCTTAGTAACACTCCCCAACATTGATATAGAAATAGTATTTAAAGGAAGAATTAATATTCAAGGAAGAAGATTAAAGAGAATAACTCACAACTTACAAATTCATTAAGCTTCAAAGTAGCAAAACCAAGATGGAAGAGTTTAGCTCCTCATTTGGAGACTAAACATGATAAAAAAATATAAAGAAAACACTAATCTAAACTGAACTAAAGAGTATATGTGAATTGATGATCTTATTGTGAAGGAAATAGGGTGTATTTATAGGTGTTTGGAGCATGCAGGGGTGTGTACTCGATCGGGTACCTTCTAAGCTTCCCGGAAGCCAGAAAAATGGGGCATACCCGACCGGGTCTGTCGGTCACCCGATCGGGTATGACACCCGGACGTGGCTAAAATCTTCTCTGCATGTTCCTTTGTCTTCGGGTGTGATCTGATTTGATTTTTCAGTAGGGTACCCGATCGGGTATAGGCCATACCCGACCGGGGTACATGAGTATTTTTTCCAAATCGAAATCTTTCTTGCCTCCTTGCACTTTTCTTGATTTTTTAAGGTCCAATCTTGATCCCTTGGATGACCTTTGACCTATTTAGCTCAGAATAATCCTAATCTAAACAAATTACAAATACAACAACAACAACAACAACAACAACATCCAAGCCTTAGTCCCAAACGAATATGGGGTCGGCTAACATGAATCGATGTATGATATCACATTATCACCAAAAGGAAAAGAAAGAAAATAAAGATAAAAAAGATAAGCTATTATAAAAAAAGATAATATAAAAGAGATGAATATACATATAAAAGATCAAATAAAAAGGATAGAGTAATATCTGTATATAAGGATAAAGATATAGAAGAAGAAGAAGAAGAAGAGGAGGAGGAGGAGGAGGAGGAGGAGGAGGAGGAGGAGGAGGAGGAGGAGGAGGAGGAGGAGGAGGAGGAGGAGGAGGAGGAGGAGGAGGAGGAGGAGGAGGAGGAGGAGGAGGAGGAGGAGGAGGAGGAGGAGGAGGAGGAGGAGGAGGAGGAGGAGGAGGAGGAGGAGGAGGAGGAGGAGGAGAAGAAGAAGAAGAAGAAGATCACTCCTCAACACGAATACCCGCCCTCCATTTTGCTCTCTCCAAAGCCATACCCTCATCCAATCCAAGAAGAAGCATATCACTTCTGACTCCCCTAACCCACGTCTGTTTGGGCCTTCCTCTCCGTCTCTTCCCTACCTCTTCTCCACACATCTCAACTCGTCTGACAGGTGCATCACTCAGTCTTCTATGCACATGACCAAACCACCGTAGGCGTGACTCCCGCATCTTATCTTCAATAGGTGCTACTCCCACCCTTTGTCTAATTGTCTCATTCCTCACGCAGTCCTTTCTAGTATGCCCACACATCCAACGCAGCATGCGCATCTCTGCCACACTCATCTTTTGAATGTGACATTGTTTCACCGCCCAACACTCCGTGCCATACAGTAATGCCGGCCTAATTGTTGTCCTATAAAATTTACCCTTCAGTCTAGTCGGCATACCTCGATCGCATAGAAATCCTGACGCACTCTTCCACTTCATCCACCATGTTCTGATTCTATGGGATACATCTCCATCTAACTCACCATCCTTTTGAATTATGGAGCCCAAATAACGGAACATATCGCTGACTGGTATCTTCTTACCATCTAAAGTAATTCCGCTATTACCACTGCTTCTACCTCCACCAAACTTGCACTCCATGTACTCTGTCTTGCTCCTACTTAGTCTCAAACCCTTGTTCTCCAATGTCTGTCGCCATACTTCCAACTTTGCTTTAACCCCTGATTGCGTCTCATCAATCAATACAATATCGTCGGCAAACATCATGCACCACGGTATATCATCTTGAATTGACTTTGTAAGTTCATCCATGACTATGGCAAATAAAAAAGGGCTAAGAGCCGATCCTTGGTGCACTCCGATAGTAATAGGGAACTCCGCAGTCCTCCCTACACTAGTACGGACACTTGTAGTACAATCCTCATACATATCCATGATGATGCTGATATACTTGCGTGAAATGCCTTTTCTAGTTAAGGCCCACCAAAGAACTTCTTGAGGTACCCTATCATATGCCTTTTCTAGGTCAATGAACACTAAATGCAAATCCTTGTGAGCGTCTCTATACTTCTCCATAAGTTGCCGAAGAAGGTGAATAGCCTCAGTTGTTGAGCGACCAGGCATAAAACCAAATTGATTCTCTGAGATCTTCACCGTTCTTCGAAGTCTTTGCTCAATCAATCGCTCCCAAAGTTTCATGGTATGACTCATAAGCTTAATCCCCCGATAGTTGGCACATTCTTGTACATCGCCTTTATTCTTAAATAAGGGAATAAGAGTACTCTTTCTCCAACTCGTTGGCATCTTGTTGTTTCTCCAAATTTTGTTGAAGAAATTTGTTAACCACCCGATGCCTCTCTCTCCCAAACATCTCCAAGCCTCGATCGGTATGCCATCTGGACCCACTGCTTTCTTCCGCCCCATCTTCCTCAAAGCCTCTTTAACTTCCGTTGGTTGGATCCTTCTCACAAAATCACGATTTACCATACAATCTGGTATGGTCAAATCATCGATATCTTGCACTTTGTTCCCGTTGAACAATGTATCAAAGTAAAACAAATTACAAATAAAAATGAAAATAAAGTATTACACCAAAAGTGTGTAATTTCCACAACTAGAACTAATAAAAACTAGTTAAAAATACAAACATACACTCGGAAATTACACGAATATCAACTCCCCCACACTTAGCTTCTTTACTCGTCCTCGAGTAAAGTCAAATGTTTAACAGTTCCAAGTCGTCAAGAGTTCAACGGTCAACAAGAAAAAGCATAAGACCACCAAGGATAAAGCAAGAGTTTTACATTGAATGTTTAGCTCAATGAACAATATCGTCTTGGGTTTCATGGACTTCTATGCTTGTCTCCTCTTTTCATGTTCAATAGATTAAATGATGTCCTGTACAAACAAATATATCTCTCATATCTCTCATTTTGCCTAGGAGCCTTTTCAGGTTTTCATCATAGCATCTCCTTTTATTTTTCCATCATTTCCACTCACTCATTTTTTATAAGCCATTTTTGCTTAGATTACCCGTTCTGGGTTTTCAACCTAACTGGCGTTTCTTTTTTTCTTCTTTTTTTCTCTTTTTTCTTTCTTTTCTTTTTTTTTTATGTGAAGAAAATAATGTCAGTTACAAGGTATCAAACTTAAGTACGTATCAATGAGTGACTCCCCCTCACTTAGTTCGAAGCACTGTCCCTATTGCTCGTCTCCGTAATAACCTTGTTGGAATGTACATCCTCGTAGCCCTTAATCGGTCCCCTAGCCTGTGAACTTGCGGCCCTGTCCCGCTTTGGTGCCATTGATTGCCTTTTTGGAGCTTGAATTTCGGGGGGCTAGGGTTTTGGGTTTTATGGAGAGGAGAAAATATGGGGATTTTTTTTGTATTGGTCTGTAAAGGGGAGTGTTTTGGTGGTGGTATGAGGAAGTTTGGGTGAGTATTGATGGAGATAGTGAAGAAAGAAGGTTTAAAGATGGAGGATTTTGGGCTAAAAGCCCGGGTACCCGGTCGGGTGCCCTGACATACCCGATTGGGTATACGCGGGTTGGCTTGTTCCGGGGTCGGG